ATCACTTCCTGGTCTGCTGCCTTCATACATCTCCTCCTACATGTCTCTGTGTGAGTGCAGCTACAGCGTGCGCTCTCAGGACATCATTACCTGCAGTGTTCCCTCAGTGAGGACTGAACTAGACAAAAGGACCTTCTCCTACTCCGCTCCTGTTTCCTGGAATATCTTGTAAAAAGATCTGAAGCTCTCGACCTTTGACCTCTCTAAGTGTCTTTAAGAATCTGTTGGACTCCTGACAGGGACCAATGCAGACATGTTCCTGTTTTTAGTTTTATACATTTGTCTTGGAATCTAGCTGGGTTTTTTTTTCGTTTTGTTTTGTTACCTTTTCCTTTTAGCCATCCTATTTGTTAAAAAAAACAAAAACAAAAACCCTGTAGTATGCTTTTTTATAACTGTTTATTGTTGTTGCTGTTGTCCATTGTGTCATCTTTCTCTGTTAAATCAGGTCTCTCTTGTAAATGAGTCGAGGCTCAATGGGAATTACCTGTATAAATAAAGGTTGATTGATTATGCAACTTTCAGTTAACTTCAGCTAAACTTATGCTACTTTCAGCTTTTAGCCACCTTCAGCTAATCTTATGCTACTTTCAGCTAACAGCTAGTTTCTCATTATTTAGCTTACCTGCTCAGCTTCAGCTTCTTCAGCAGTCGTTATGACAGGTTCTGGTTGTTCTCCAGTCACAGATCTGGACCCTGAACTATAAACCGGGTCGAGTCTTCGAGCTGCTCCAAGCCGTGCGGGTGAACCTGGTTATGTTCTGGTACGTTGACCCATCTTCTCAGGATCACAGGTACTTGTGGGTACCAGGCCCAATTCCTGTATGGTTCGACCTGGTTTATGGGTTCAGGTCAGAAGTTGAGATGAGTTTAGCTCAGGGTTCGGTACTGTGCGCTCCACCAGCAGCGACGGACACTGAGGACCACCTCTGAGGACTTTGTGAAGGAAACCGTGGGAACATTTTATTTTCACACATTGTGACTTGTTGCAAAAAAGGCTTTTATTTTGACAGTCGAAACCTAAAACATTCACTTCTGGGTCCAGTTCTTGGAGGAATGTGGTCCATGAAGCCCGGGTCAGAGTGTGGCTCTGGGGTTCCTCCGATTCTCCTGGGGTATGATGGGCTTGAAGTCCGAGTCCACACGGATCCAGAGCCCTGAGTTTCTGTTTGCCGTGGACCGTAGCTCCTGAGATCAGTGAAGACCAGAGCCACGTCACCCGCTGAGCCACTGGATCAAGCTGCTTCCTTCCCACCATGGTTTTAATGATTTGTTGGGACTTTTGGTCATTTCTGATTTGATAGTGCAGCTGCAGCTCTTACAGGATCATGTAGATCCAACTAGTGTCATTTCTGGACTAGAAGCCTCTACTTTGAACCCCTTGGCTCATTCATGGATTATTTTAAATGTGCCAACGAGCTCCTGCCACCAAAACATTCAGCCTCGTCACAAGCGGGACACAACACAGAGCTGCCCAACACTCCCTCTCCTGGGGGGTGAGTCTTGCTCCACGGAGCAGGAGCAGCTTGTGCACGAGGAATATGAAGATGGTGATCAGTAGCTCTGTTTACATGCACAAAATTCTTTGACCAGATTGAAATGTTTTCAGATTAAATAATCCAAACGTGTTGTTTACATGGGCACAATCTGTTCATGACGAGTGTTTCCATGCAGCGGGCTTTGTTCAGAACAGAAGTACTGACATGTGCTGAATGGTAAACTCTCCCTAATAAAACCACAGAAGAAGAAGTTCTACTTCCGGTTTACTTCCGGGATGAACGTAAACAAAGCCGAGCACCAAAATGGACCCGGGACAGGTTTTACCGACGGTGGAGACGTTGCTGCACTCCCTGATCAGCATCTATAACATCTCTTATTGAAATGAGGATAACGAGTTACAACAACAAATAATTTCCCTTTGGGATTAATAAAGTATTTTTGAATTGAATTGAATTGATGAGCTGCAGGTAAAACAGATCACTGTGAGCTCTTTCAAAGATTCTAGTAGAAACGTGTCGCTCACTGACATGCTAATATTATTAGCATTAGCCAGGTGGAAATGTGAGGCAGACGGGTCGCACATGCACAGACAGGTGTTTTCCACCATCAGAAAAAAACGATCAGATTAAGTGTTTACAAGCGCATGTTCAGATTATGAATCAGCATAAAGCACCAGTCTCATTCGGATAAAATTCTTTTGGCTCGAGCTGAATCAATAAAAAATAATCAGAATGAGACGTTTACAACATGACACGTTTTAATTATTTATTTTAGATCAACTGAATTAAATCTGATGAAGCAGATTCTACAAAAACATTTATATTTAACAGTTTATGGGTTTTCTTCATCATTTGATGTATTTGCACTCGTGTCTACTTTTATTGTTCTATTTTTGTGTGTTTTTCTTTCGTTTACAGATTTTATTTTAGTGATTTAAGTGATGATCAGTGATCAATGTTATTTCTCAGTTGAGACGACACCCTGCATGGCCTGAGGGGGTTCTGGGGCTCCGGAGGGACCGGCACAGCTCCATCCAGCTCGCTCTGAATTTTGTTTTCCGTCACCGAACACTAAAACCTTCGGCTCTTCATCATTGGACCACGATGTCATTCTTTTAAATCTTAGACCACGATGTCATTCTTTTAAATCTTAGACCACGATGTCATTGTTTTAAATCTTAGACCACGATGTCATTCTTTTAAATCTTAGACCACGATGTCATTGTTTTAAATCTTAGACCACGACGTCATTATCGTTTTAAAACTTAGACCACAACATCATTGTTTTAAATCTTAGACCACAAAGTCAATGTTTTAAATCTTAGACCACAATGTCATTATTGTTGTAAATCTTAGACCACGATGTAATTATTGTTTTAAATCTTAGACCACAACGTCATTGTTTTAAATCTTAGACCACAATGTCATTATTGTTGTAAATCTTAGACCACGTCATTATCGTTTTAAATCTTAGACCACAATGTAATTATTGTTTTAAATCATAGACCACGACGTCATTGTTTTAAATCATAGACCACGATATCATCGTTTTAAATCTTAGACCACAATGTCATTATCGTTGTAAGTCTTAGACCACAATATCACTGTTTTAAATCTTAGACCACAATGTCATTATCGTTGTAAATCTTAGACCACGACGTCATTATTGTTTTAAATCATAGACCATGATATCATCGTTTTAAATCTTAGACCACAATGTCATTATCGTTGTAAGTCTTAGACCACGATATCATTGTTTTAAATCTTAGACCACAAAGTCAATGTTTTAAATCTTAGACCACGATGTCATTATCGTTGTAAATCTTAGACCACGATATCATCATTTTAAATCTTAGACCACAATGTCATTATCGTTGTAAATCTTAGACCACGATGTAATTATTGTTTTAAATCTTAGACCAC